CCCTGCGCCGCGCCACACGTGCCTCACCGCGCTGCGCCAACACCACGACCCGGACTGCAGCACCTGTTCCCGCACTCACGCCGTGATGTCCCCGCGCCGCGACGCGCTCCGTCCCCGCGGATTTGCACTCGGATTTTGCTACTGCTTTTAGATTAATCTTGTTTATCGGATTCAACTCTCAATTTCGGTTTAATCGTAAGACTTTCTATTCTTTTAATCCATGAATATGTTTGTCTTGATTTGTGAGATTGTTTGTGTAGAATCGATCATGAGTAGCTAAATCCCATTGCTAGGGATAGGGGATTGATGTTTTGATATCGTTTGCGATTGTCGGGCTCAGGATTGTTCAATTTCATTCGAGTTGATCTTTTTCTAGGGTTTTTCAATTGTCGGGCTCGAGCATTTAGAACTGTTGAAGGGTGACACTTCAATCCCCAATTGTTTGCAATTGAGTTTGATTTATTCTTGCTTGATGTTGGTTATTTTGTACGGACTAGTTAATTAAACACTTTCTAGTCTACTTTAATCGACTCTTAGAACCGAAAGGGGAGGAGTCGGTCGAAATAGGCTCGTATGAACTAGGCTTGTTCGTAACTGTATTGCCTAGAAGTTAAATGAATTGTTAATTTGCCGTTCTAGTTTGGTCTCTTGTTACGAAAAGTTATTGAGAATGAGTGCTTGAACGTGTCGATTAGTCAAATCACTTAACCGAACAATCTCTTGCTTGACAATTACATTTTCGAACCAAAACGGATATCCCCGACTCCCTAGCTTCTTAAATCCTACTTGTTCTTCGTCATTGCTTGCTATTTCTATTTACTTTCTTTGAAGTTTTTCTTCGTAGTTAATAATAGAACCAAATCATCTGAATTAGAATGTTTAGGAATTTTTATTTTCTTTTGTGTGGTTGAATAAACGTGCATAATAATCCGGCTAACCTTCCTCGAGAGACACGACCTGGTGTTCGAATCTTTTGATTCTACTCCGAAAAAATATTTACAACAAATTGGCGTCGTTGCCGGGGAAGGTTTAGGAATTATCTTGTGCGCTTATTCTCTTTGTTTTTGTGTTTCTTTTGTATCTTTTTCATTGTTTAGGTGTCATTTCTTCCTTTGTTCTGTTTTCATTTTATTTTCTCCTCCGAGATTTGTCCCAACCCATGATTAGGCCGATCACTTCCTGTATCCGGCTGGAGCAAGATGCCCGAAACTCTGAGCTGAAGATGGTCCACTACAATCAGCTCCTATCATTCCACGGGCTTCCCAACGAAGACCCGCTCCACTTTCTTCAACGTCCCCCAAACGTTCCCACTACACGGGCTGAGCGAGGACCAACTGAAAATGCGGTGTTTCCCAGAGACTCTGAAGGACCGAGCAAAAGCTTGCTTCATGACCCTCGCCCCGGATTCTCTAACAACTTGGGCCGAAGTCTACTCCAAATTTGTCGAGAAGTATTATTCCCATCAGAAGACCCAAGACATCCGGTTCCAGATAGTCTCCTTTGCTCAACTGCCAAACGAGCCTCTTCACGAGGCTTGGGAACGTTTCAAGGACCTTCAGAGGCAGTGCCCCCACCACAACCTCGTTCCAGGACTATTAGCGAATTGCTTCTACGACTCCCACCACCAAAACTTGCAGTATATGGTGGACAACGCAGCTGGAGGGGATATTGGGGGCAAAACAGCTGAAGAAATGATTGCAATCTATTAGACAATGAGTGCCAACTCGTCTCAGAAGAGTATCAGAGGGAAGCGGTCCATAGTGAATGAGGTTGGCTCGAGTAATAATGCTATAGCCCAGCAGTTAGCCGAGCTCATGGAGCAGATGCGACTACTAAATGCTCGAAGTTCCTCACCGATTCAGACAATGGCAGTAAACGTTTGTGGAGCATGTGGTGTTCAGGGACACAGTTCTGAAGTGTGTCCTATGGCTCTCGAGTCAAATTACGGAGGGCAGAATGCTGAGGTTAACGCTTTGCAGGGGTATCAGAACCGGCCCGGAAACGACCCCTACTCGAACATGTACAACCCCGGGTGGAGAAACCACCCAAGCTTCTCATGGTCTAACAACAATTCCCAACAGCCGCCTCAACCTAACTTTGTCTCCCATCAGTAGCAACACAAGGGACAAATGTTAAGGTTGCCAGCACCGGAATCCGGACCGAGCCCGAAAAACTCAGATGAGAAGCTGGATAAGATTCTCTAATTTTTGGCCGACAACAAGCAACGAACTATGAACAATGAGGCTTCCATTAAGCGCCTCGAGACGCAAGTGGGACAGTTGGCCACACGGGTCGGGACCATCGCGACTGACTTGAACAAGGGAAAGCTGTCAAGCCAGCTGGAGCATGCAAATGTGGTAACTGTGATTATGCCCGAAGAGGTGAAAGAAGAAAAAGAGGGCCCGAATGAGCAAGGGAAGACAGAAGAAGCTCCAGTGACACCACCACCCGAGCCTACTTTACACAGATCCCTGAACCCTTACCGACCGAAGATTTCTTTCCCGAGCCGACTCTTGGAGGAGAAGGACCGCACTATGATTCGGGACCTTCATGCGATGTTGGCCAAGGCCAATGTCGACTTATCTCCTCCCGATGTGTTGAAGAAAGTTTCGACTTATGCACGATTCTTCAAGGAAGTGGCCACAAACAAGAAGAGGTTTGAGAACGGTGAGGAGGTGATTATCTGTGAGGCGGCGAGTGTCTTCCAGCATGACTTGCCGAAGAAAAAAAGGGATCTCGGAGGCTTTGTGATCACTATGGCCTTCGGGAATGGGGAAGAGACATCGGGATTGCTTGATCTTGGAGCAGGCATCAACCTCATGCCACTTGCAGTTTACCACCGACTCGGGCTAGGAAACTTGAAGCCCACCGGCATGCGCCTACAGCTAGCTGATCGCTTATATCGTCGACCAGAAGGGATTGTGGAGGATGTGCTCGTATGAGTAGGAACATTGATAGTTTCCGTGGACTTCGTAGTGCTCGATGTGGGGAACGTGGAAGAAAAAGGGAAACAACACGCCATCCTCCTCGGACGACCTTTCATGGCGACAACCAGAACTGTTATTGATGTAAGGAAAGGGACGGCGACCATGGCAGTGTTAGGCGAGTCCATCTCCATCTCCGTTCGAGAGACCCAGCCTGAACCGCAGACAAATGTTGTGGAAGATTATGCTTACCTCAGGGCGATTGAACAGCTTACTGAGGGCGCGTGTATGCGAGAACATGCGAAGAGATCATTGCAGGACCGTGTCCATGTCCAGAGGAAGTACCGTTCTGACCGAGCCACTACCCCTTCCCAGCTGAGTTCGAAGGAGTTGCCCCGATCCGAATGGGGCGAGAGATTTGAGTTGACAGAGGCCCACCGCTGTTCGGGGCCTGACTACCTCCACCTGCACCACCGGATTCACAGTGACTAATCTAGTCACTATGCCCTGTACGTTTGTATCTTTTCCTTTCTCTTAATTTTTGCTTTTGTTTTAGTTTTTCTGTCTTTTGTATTGGTTGATTATATGGGTAAACTTTCCTTGCACTGATGATCGACAATGGGGATATTGTTCGGTTTTAAGTATGGGGGAGTTTTTACATGATTATGTGCGTATATGGTTGACCAGGTCTAAGTCCTTTAGGTTGTTTTCATTTTCGGTTTTATTTTAGTTTCTTTTCTGGAGTCAGTTTGTGTGTTTTGCGAGTATGGATTATAGCAAATTTTAAGATTTGTTGATGATTGTTAATGATGTTGAGGAGATGTGATGATGATCATGACCAGTACATTTTAATGAACTCGATGCATTGTTTTGTTGGACACTTATTTACCTGATGTGAGGGTTGAGCCTTGGTTGTTTCTTGAGAGATATTGGTCGGATTTGTGTTAATCAGAACTTGCTTTGAGTCTGTTTTGAAATGAAGTGATTAAAGTTGTGATTTGTGAAAATGATTGAGGCATTTCTTTGACATAGCTCGTTTTGACCCTTTTCATTGACCCTTGAACTTATATTTTCACTAGTAGCCCGTTGAGCCTTGAATCGTATTTCTTGTCAATCGATTCAATTGAATTATTTGAGATTTAACAGTGTACTTGATATGATGACAGAGCTTTCTAATATGTGTTGATGAGGTATAGAACTTGTTTGGGATGCATTTTGAGTGTTCTTAAAAAAAAGAAAAGAAAAAAAAGAAAAAAAAAACTTGAGAGTTCACAGGACGAATCGAATGGATTCTGCTCCTCTTACTAGTCAATTCATTTTGACAGGTAATGAGCATTGGGAAACTACTGTAGGAAACTTGGATGACCTCCAATGTTCACACCTACAGAATGTTATCCATTTGATTCAATCTTGTTCGGAAAAAGTTACTCTCCAAAAAATAAAAAAAAAATAAAAAAAAAAAAAAAGACAGACGAGTACTTAATTTGCATTTCATCTTGAACGTATATGAGTGTTGCATGGAGTTTTGATGGGAATGATTGGTTTCATGTTGATTTTTGATAGGTGGTGGAACATTCGAGTAGTTTATATGCTTGAGAATTTGATTGTTTATTTGAGCCGCTTATTCTTCATTTTGGTCTTTCCCTTGTGCAAACTGCCTTTATTGCAACCCCAGAAGTCCTCTTGATTTGCACTTCATGTTTTTTTATTGTTTTAGAGTATGAATAGACGATAAGCAAGCTTATGTTGATGCATGATGATCGACCAATTTGAGCATATCACTTCATATTTATGAAAAAAACCGAGTGAGGCATATATGTTTGATATTCCCATGCTTGAGCGTCTGTGTTCTTAAAGCGTTGCATTCAAGTTGTAATTGAGGTGTGCTATATTGGTCATTGGAAGTCTCCTCGGCTAAGTTGACTAATTTGAGGCTTGTCTTATTTGAAACTGTTATCCATGCTCGTTTGCTTGTTTTCGTGTCTTTTCTTTTCTTTTTGTTCGGGACGAACAAAGGTTTTAGTGTGGGGGAGTTGTTTGTCCCATTTTTGTTGCGTTTTTCATTATCTTTTTGTCCTGCAACTTCATGACCTTCAATAAACTGATTCTGCAGGCCAGCCTCTCGCTTAAATTTGGTCGTTGGACCAAATGGATCAGGAAAAAGTTCTATTGTCTGTGCTATTGCCCTAGGGCTTGGAGGTGAACCTCAGGTTATAATGACCCTAATGATTACTCGTTCTTATTCGTCTTCCTATCCATGTGAAGTGGTTTTGAGATAAAATGCTTAAATGTGCAGCTTCTCGGGAGGGCTACTAGCATTGGAGCTTATGTGAGGCGTGGGGAGGAGTATGGGGACATTAAAATTTGCGGGATGTTTATTTAAATGACCCAGTCAAAGGTCATATTTATTTAAGTGACCCTTTTGTCTTTTCTATAAAATGTGATGCATGAAGGGTCTAAAATACCCTTTTGATATATAACAAATGTTCTTTCGTTTTTCTTTATGATATAACGAAAGTAGGTTCGTTATATATCTTTTGTTGGAACTTGTTATATTTTAAGTCCTAATTCTTTACTTATCTCTTGAACTTTTTGTTCAATTTTATATATATTGTTATTTGGTTTTATGATTACTTCAGTACAATTATCTATTTTTGAAGAACTTGCTTCGTTTTCCTCATTATTCTGTTTAGGAATAACGTAGTCTATTTTAGATCTTACGAAAGAAGAAGTTCTATGTACTTGAAAGGACCTTCTAGGTGCTTCTAGTTGTAATATTGGTGAAAATAATTCATCAATTTCAATTTTATCATGAGGTTTGAATGACAAACTATGATGACTGTTAGTAAGTGCATAGTTTATTCTCCATGTTACTGAAAATGGGTGATTTCCAGTTTTCATTATTTTTCTTTTCATGTTCCAACACAAAGTGATAGAATCATCTAAATTATTGTCAAATAAAGACATTCCAACTTGGTAATTTAAATTAAACTTAATTTTACCAAATTTTAGATTTCCACTCCGTTCAGCTATTAGAGCATCAGAATAATTAATCATTCTATTATCAATTAGTCTTATTGTAATAGGAGAATCTATTCCTAGACTATAGGTTGATTTAAGAATCATTTGTATAGTAGAAACATGTAAGTAAGAGATTTTATTCCTAGTTTCTGTTTTTATATCTTTCAACATAGAAAGAATTTGTTCTTTACAGATAACAGGAATAACTACATTTCCTTCTGTTTGATCTGTATCTATTGCTTCTTCTCCAGAAATGATTCCAAAGAATATTTCATTTTTTCTAGAAATTAAATTATTTAATTTCTTTATCAATCCTTCATTTCTGAAATTATGATTCTTTTTTAAATCATGATCTGCTATTCCTAATTTATTTGCATCTATCAAAGCTTCAATTAAATAGCCTGATTTTTCGTGCTTTGTGCAATAATCTAAAAGATTATTTTCTTTATCCATTTGTTTTTTAAGTTATAATTTTAGTATTTTCGCCTGTTACCAGGCTCTGATACCATTTTTATTTGCTGCTGCTCCAGCTTTTAACTTCCAGTTTATAATCAATTTTGCGGAAAATCTTAGATATTAAATCTTAGTTTTTTCAATTTTTTCTTTATACTTTTCAGATAATTAACTTGACCTTCTACTTCTGGAAAACAATCTCCGTAGTAATTATCTCTTGTAGAATGCCTTTTATAATAATTTTTCTTGAGTGTAATTCCATATATAAGGTTTTCTAGATCTTTTAAAAGATCCTCTCTAGCTTTTTCAAGTAAATTCATTTCATCTTTTCTTATATTACCATAAGCATCTAAACTTATGGGACTAGTTTTTAATCTTTCACTAATAATGTCAAACTCTTCTTTCATCATTTAAAAATTAAAGCATTCTTCAAATGAAAACATCATTTGAAACTGCGAGTTATGTGGAGTACTCTTGAGAAAGATGAGACTCTGTCATGATAAATCCATTTTTTACAAACCTCAAATTCTGGGGTTGTAATGGATTCTCGTTTTGAACGAGTCGAAGGCTATAGGCCATTCTTTCGATATCTGAAGCAATCAGATTTTTATCACAAGTTCGAATCAAAGTTCGATATTTAGTTTTCAACTTTTGAATAGTTGATTCTAAAACATACTCCCACGAAATAGCAGGCATTATATATTTTTTATATACAGAGTTTTTCTAAGTTTGATATAATTTTAGCTAACTCTTTTTCTCTAGTTACTAGTGATGAATGAATATCATTGTAATAGTTATCTTTTGTTCTTTGTCTATTATTTCTAATAGTTTGTCTTTGAACACCATTTTCTAGAATTTTTAATTTCTCTAAAATTTCGAGTTTAAGAAACTTTAAAAGATTAATTTTTAATCTTCTTAATTCTTCATATTTATCTAACCTCATGGGTAATTGTATGCAGTTTTCAATGTTATTAAAAACATTATTAAAAAGTTCTGAATTCATACCTTTCTTCTGGGTTTTGAATTCTTTTAGTGTGCTTGTGATGATTGGTCCACCATGGCTTCCTGCTTTATCCTCAAATTCCAAACACTGTGCTCCGAGTCGTCTTACTGCCCTTCTTCCTGGGTCTTACTTCGACGAGCGATCGTGTCTCCAGGAATATCCAGAGAATTTTAGCCTAAGCTTTTGGTTTGATCTTTTCTTGAAGCTTAATAGCTTCTAGGTGTTTGAAACTTAATGTTTTTGAGATATAAAGCTCGTGGCTTAAGAACAACTTTTATTGAAAATTCAATGTTTACAGAGAATAAAACTTCGAAATCTGATGAGGGATTGATGCCTTACATACTCCCATGGCACTCCCTTATATAGAAAATAGAAATGCGTGAATTATTGGGGTTCGGCACATGTCGCCGTCTCACCAAACGCACTTTGAAAAAGATCAAAAGCAGAAAATCTTCATCTAATTTTGTCTGCTACATTATTATACAATGGTAGGGATTACTTATCAACAATCACATGGCTACTACATTATTGCATTATTACATAATGGTAGGGACTACTCTTATCACATGATAAGGTTCACATGGCTGGCAAGTTTCCTTCCTTTATTGTGGTAGGGTCTGTGGTTGCTGGCTTGCTCGGATTTTCTTCTTTTTCCAAAGTGGTAGGGTCCTCCACATGCTTTTTTTTTTGCTTACCCGACTCCCTCTTGTCATTAGTGTCGGCAACCTTCTTCTTCTTCTTTTGGTGCTTTTCTTTCTCTTCATTGACTGTAAGGCCAATAGACTGCACCATTTGCTTTGTTGCTTCTGTGGCATGAATCTTGAGGATGAGATTATCCTGCCAATTTTGGACTATGGTCAAGTCTTGTTTGTCTATCTTTTTGTTGAAATTACTGACCAGAAGAATATTAGGGCTGCAATAATTTACTTTAATTTGGCTTGATGAATTTATTTTTTCTAATGTTTTCAAGATAAAATAAATTCTATCTGCCCTTTCCAAATTCAGTTCTTCCTCTGTCAATGGAGGTTTTTCTTGTACCAGTGGTACTGGTGGTTTTATTTCTCCAGAAACCCCAACATGAATATAGTGGTACGCTGGGTATTGTTCTTCTTTGTTCCAGTCTGGTATGAGCTCCAGATCTTGACAAAGATTGATTTGTTATTTTCACGAATTCTGCATTTTTCCATGTACAAAGCGATTGCTTGTTTGATTTTTGGAAAATATGACAATTCTCTTAAACTGTTCTCTGGGTAGAGGGTATCAATGAATCCCCCTAGGAACAAGTCTCTTGTGATTTCAGGAGTAACTCCTGGTAGCAGGATAGCTTTAATCTGTTGATTTCTACTAATAGGAATGTATCCTTGTTCACATGTACTCGCGTTTACTTCTTCATATAACTTGAGCCATTCTTTCTGGGTTATAGTAGTTTTGATTAACTTACTATCCAGTTGCTGCATTTTAAATTCGTCAAATTTTATGAATGGATTTTTCAAATGGTATTCTTTAGGAATACCAGTGTTACGAAATACTGGTACTCTCTCAGTGATTTTGTTCTTTAGTTTTTCAAAGATCATCCTTGCTTCGAATTCAGTCTTTGCCGTATGATAGTATTCAGCTGGCAAATCTTTTATTTTCTCGAAGCTATTATAGACTCCAATTTTTGGTCCGGTGTGCACCGTGTACCAGTTAGGTGCCCTTTCACCAGAACGTCTTTGTATTCGGTTTTAGCTTCTTTTTTACTATCAGGCTCTGAGAGACTTCCTTTATCTGTCTGATTTTTCAATTGTACTATCTTCAATTTCTGCTTTAAAATTTCCAATTCATGCTCCTTTTGCATGATTTCTAATTTAAGTTCTTCAACTTGAAGATCCATTCTGGTCCTTTTTGCTTTTGATTTGCAATCTTTTGCTGAAGCGTTTGTTTCTTCAATCAAATGCCTGCAAATTCCCTTGTTAGACAATCAGCAAGATAATTTTTATCACCTTTTACATGTTCAACATCAAATTGATAGTGCTTTAGATGTAATTGCCACCTAATCAATCTGCCTTGTTTATAATCTCCTTTAAATTCATTTTTAATAAAATAACTGAAGTTTTTATTATCAGTTCTTACTAAAAACTTATTGAAGATAAGATATATTTTGAATTTTTGAATGCCCCGTAAAACTGCGAGCCATTCTTTTTCATTACTATGGTAATTCTTTTCAGCATCCTTAAAAGTTTCTGAAGTATATCTACACAATTTTTCTTCAGAAGAGTTTACTGGTTTTGCTTTTAAAACAGCGCTCCAGTAAGAGTCGGATGCATCTGTTTCCAAAATCATTTTATCATTTTTTTGAGGGTGATATAACGTGGGTAGAATTTTTAGTTTTTTCTTTATTTTTTCTACATATATTGTATCACTTGATGTCCAAGTAAAAACGACATCCTTTTTTAATTTTGCTTGTAAAGGCTTACGAATCGCTGCCAAATTAGCTATGTAGCCTTCTACATAATTTAAGATTCCAAGAAACCTTTGTAGTTATTTTTTATTTCCTATTTCTGAAGGAAATTCAGATATTTTTGTCATGATATGCGGTTGCATAGTTAGACTTCCATTTTCAATTTCTAGTCCTAAGAAATTAATCTTAGTTTGAGCAATTTTTGCCTTTTTCTCAAAAAGGATGATTCCTTCTTTAAGACATTGTTCTAGTACTTGTATAACATGCTTATAATGTTCATGTTCGGTTTTGCTGAAGACAATTATATCATCAACATATACCGTGCAAATTTTACTAAATTCTTTGCTCGGGTCTTTTAAACATAGAGCATTATCAATTCTCCGTTGGAATAATCCAGGAGCTTGTTTTAGTCCGAAAGGAACAACATTCCATTCAAATTGTCCATTTGGGGCAACTGAATGCTGTTAACTTTCTACTTTCTTTTAGAGGGACTTGCCAAAATCCACTCTTACAATCGAATGTACTAAACCATTTCATATTTTTAATTAAATGAAATAGTTCTTCTTTCTTTGGTAAAAAATACCCATCCATTTCTGTGTTATCATTTAATTTTTTATAATTAATAACCATACGTCTTTTTTGTCTTCGTTTTTCAGCTTCATTTTCTACTAGAAAAGCTGGACTACTATGTGGGGATTTACTAGGACGAATTAAATTCATTTTTAGTAATTCTTCAATCTGTATGTTAAACTCTTCTCTATCTCGAGGAGTATAACACATTGGTTTAACTCTTATAACCTTTAAAGGGTCGGTTAATTTTATTTCAGCATGTAAGGCTGGGTTTTTATAACTTTTATTAAGCATTTTATCTAACGGATTTTCACTCGTTATTTTATTTAATGCTTTTTGACAATCTTCTAAAGATAACATATAAAGCATTTGATGTTTGGATATTAAGGTGTCTATTATTTTCTAACATTGCATGGTTCGAATAAAAATTCTTTCTGGATTTTTAGTTTCATTTGTTATTGCAATGTTTTTCTTTTTTATATCTGTAACCTCACCACATTTTCGTAGTTTGGCGTTATTTGCCATAAATTCTTTAGATGCAAAGCTGTAAGCTTTATTCACAAATGTTATATAAACTGGTACTTCATTCAAGTGTAACAGTATATAATTTAACTAGTACAGAGCCCGTGCGATGCACGGAGTGCATAATTTTAAGGTTATTTATCCAGACTTATAATTATATACATGAATAAAGAAAAATGTACGGGATATATATAGTACGTGACCCGTGCGAAACACGAGATATATTTATTTAGAGAATATTATATTATAAGATGCAATATTAAATAAAAGTTTATAATACGCAAGAAATTGTACAATGTTCAATAAAAGTTTTATAATATTCAAGTGGAGTCTTAAAGTCTCTTGTACATTAAGACTACTGATAAAATAATATTTTAATCAATGAGTTTTCTTTCCTTGTAGCCAAATTGTGAATGTGATTTGAGGAGTACGACAAATCGATATATAGCTGACTTACTTTTTTCATTGTAGTTTTTTTTTCTTTTTTTTTTTATAATGAATTTAAAGATATTCTAAAATATAGCAAAAATTATTTTTTTTATTACAATTAGGAATTTTACTAAATATAAACTCTCAATCTATTGTGTTAATCAACATTTAAGTCTAAAAAATTAGGAATTTTTACCTCTTTTAATCAACGTTTAATTCTAAAAAACAATCGAGTTATTATAAATTTTTTTTCTACATCTTTTAAAACATTAAATATGAGCATGTTAGAGCTAGCTTGTGAAATAATCAATATATTATCTCACTAAAACATTTATACTAATAAAAATTTAATTTTAGCATATAAATTTATCCCTTGATATAAGAGAAAGTAACAGTTTTACTTATTGTTGTTCACCATATAATATTTAATTATTATTTTATTATATAATAAAAAAGAAATATTGTTAAATAGTGTAGTAGAATTGTTATAAAATTATATGATTTTTTTTTTTTACAATATGGATTTAATATTTTTTTATGATTTGATAATATAAACAAATCTATACTTAACTTTGACAAATAAAACAAATAAATACTTTAGTAAGTATTTAATGTATATACTAAATAGGAATATATTTGCTATAATCAAATACCAAATATAATCAAATAAGTCAAAGTGTACATTTTTATTTGGTATTTGATTTTTTTATTATTAAAATCTTTTTATTATACTTACCTTTTTAAAATAAAACTATAAATAAATAAATTAAATAAATAAAATATTATAATACCAAAATAGTAATGACATTTAATGCAGTTGACTTTTCTGAATAGTAAATGTAGTAAATAGAATATTTTTTTATATAGTATAATACGAAAATAGTAATACAATAAATGTTGTTGACTTTTCTGACTACTTAATTTGGTAAATAGTACCCACTTTAATATAAGTATAGATACGGAAATAGTAATGCAATAAATGCTGTTGACTTTTCTAGCTACTTAATTTAGTAAATAGTACCCCCTTTAATAAAAGTATAGATTCCTGGACAAATGGTCTGTATAATTTTAAGAAGTTATTACCTATTAAAAGGTCTACTCCGGTATCTTGTTGGTATATAGTAGGAACTGTAAATTTTTCTCCCGCTATTGAAAATGTGACATTATAAGCCACCTTTTCTAAGGTAATTATTTGTTTATTTGCAACTCGTGCAGTTATTTTTTGTTTAGCATTTTCTCATTTTTCGATGGGTAATACTAAAGGATGTGCAGCACAAATACTTGCGCCTGTATTCATATATCCATGAAGGTGATATAGTTTATATCCAGCGAATTTAAAACCCACTTTGATATAGGTACTATTAGGGTTGGTTATATTTAACAATCGTTTCATTCTTCAGAACTATCATCAGTGCAACTTTCCCATTCAGAGTTTGGTTTGGAATAGAACTGTTTATATTCTATTTCAAATTTTAATTCATATTCTGAATTATTAGACTCATTCTCAGATTCAATTGGTTCAAAGTTGAACTTTTGCATTGCATAAAGCATTTTAACTTTATCCTTATTTTCTTTTCTTTTAGGACATTCATTTGCATAATGACCTTCTTCTTGGCATAACCAACATTTACAGTTAGTTTTTCCTTTTGGGCAATATTTTTCTTTTCTTTCAATCCTCTTTCTATATCTGGGTTTGTTTATTTTATAATTCTCTTTTTTGTATTTTCTATATTTAGGAATATACCTTTTGTATTTTTTAAACTTCTGATATTTTGATTTTCGAGAATGCCTCTCTTTTCTAGTTCTACATCCCCATTTATTAGGTATCTCTAATAACTGAGGATCACAACATGGTTTGTTTTAATAGTATACAAGAGTTCCTCTTAATTGAGTATCTTTACATCTATCTTCTATGGTTTCTTTAAGAAGATTTACTCTTCCTGCAAATCCTTCTGTAATATGATCAGGTTTATTAGACCACTTTTTATTCATTTCAAAAGCCCACAATGGTGGTAGCTTATTGAAGTATTTTTCAGCATATGCTGGTCTATCTTCTTGTTTTAACAAGTAATACCATTTTTCATATTCACATGTAAAATTTTTCCAATAACAAATATCACATATTTGAATATTGTCAAGTATGAACTTTGCTTTTCTCTGTCTTTCTTCTAACACTATATTTGTGTTATCTAATTCTCTGACTCCTACAAATTCATTAACTACTAGTTTAGCCAAAGCATTTAGATATTCTATGTTATCATCTGGTTTATTCCAAAGAGCATCAAGGCTTGGAACATATGGGTTTGAATCCCACCAGCTTCTAACATTTCCCTTCATATGAAGTTCTAAATATGTTTTTAATGTTCTCAGATCTTCAAATGCTTCTCTATTAGTTTGTATTACTACTAACATATAATTATACCAACCTTTTATTGTTTCAACTGGTTTTGTCAAACAATCTAGATTAAGTATGTTGTCATTGTGATTATTAGAATTATCTTTAGGAATAAACTCATTTGGAATATAATTCTTTGATTTCTTGTAAGGTTTTGCCTTATTTCTATTCATATTCATCATTCCTGTAATATTTATTTCTGGGAATGTTTTCTCTTCATCGGATACTCTAAAGTACCTATCTGCATTTGGATTATAGAACTCATCATTTATATATTCTTCAGGAGTCATGAACTCATGAGTGTCTTGATAATTACTTGGTCCTGGAGGAATATCTTTAAGATCTTCTTCGATTTTAACATTTATTCGATCTTTTGGTTCTAAATTTTCGCTTTCTGAACTAGAGTCACTGTAATTCCCAATAAATTCTTTTAAAGATAATATATTCTGATATTTGTCTAATAGAGACTGAATATCAGTTTCACTTTGAATAGAATCAGTGTCACTATTCATTTTTCTCCAGGTAGTCTTTTTCTTCCGTTTTTAAATAGATTACTAAGATCCCATTCATTTGGTGGTCTATATGTTGGTATAGATTTCTTTTCTTTTATATTTGTTAAAACTTTTTCTATTTCTAATAATTTAGTATCTGAGTTACTAGAATCAGACTGTTGTATATTTTGCTCTATTCTTAGAACAACTTCTTTTATTTCACTAACTATTGTTAGTATTTGTTGTACATTTCCTACTTCAGGATTTTTAGCCATTTAATCCTAATTCTTTTCCAATTTGATTTACAAGTAAAATTACTTTGTTTAAATTTTCCATTAATGGTTCAATTTGTGGAATCTTCTCGTCTAATTTTATTAAAGTCTCTTCTAACCTATTTACGTTTATTCGGTTAATATTTTCTATAATTTTGTCAGCTTTTGCTGCAATATCAAGAATTTCTGATAGTAAAGTATCTAGAAATTCGATATTTCTACTCGTTTTTTCAAGTCTTTCAAGAATTAATTCTTGATTATTTCGGATTTTTTCAATATTCTCCCAAAGAGGAGTATTATTTATTCTACTCATTTTTTAAATATTTGAATTTTAAGCATTTTAGCTTATTTTTTGATGATTTTTTAGGATTTTTTTTTTGAAAATAGGATTGAGGACATATATGTCTTTTTCCCTTATTTTTATAGATTTTTGAATTAATTTTTACAAAGTTTTTGGTAGGGTCATTTACCCAATTTGTTATGTGCATAGGGTCATTTCAACTAATTCCCTCAAAATTTGCCTAGAGGAGAAACCAAGGAAGAGCCTATCACAATTACAAGGAAAATAGATATTCATAACAAATCTGAGTGGCTGTATAATGGTAAAGTCCTTGATTTTCTTGTTACTAACTCAAAGTCATGCTCTCGTGCCTGAACCTATGCTCTGTATAATTGTAAGGACCATTTATAATTTTGAAAAGCTGTGTTGCGTCTCAGTTAATATGCGTCTGAAGCATATGCAGGTCAATACCATCCATTGAAGCATGAAGGATATGTGATGTTGATATCATTTATTTTAACACCTATTACCCTTTTTTTTTTTTGGTGAATGCACGGATGTGCTGGTGAAAAGATGCATTCATGCAGATGATCTTCTATCCTCATCCAACACAGCTTAAAGATGAATTCATGCCAAGGAGACTTTAATTGACTAGAGCGTCACTGCTCTCTGAACCACATCCCCCCTCCACGACACTTCATTTCTTGTGTGAAATCTGGAAATGAACAATGAATATTATCGGCGCTTCATTTACAGCATAGAGCCACATAAAAACAAATTAAGCCTCTTATATTTTATTTGTCTGGGTTTGCATTTGTGTTACATCTGAGATGAAGTTTCTGATTTGTTTATTCAGGTCAAGTGGTAGCGAAAAAGGAGATTAATGAAGTAATACAAAGATTCAACATCCAAGTCAATAATTTGACTCAAGTAAGTTTTTGATAAACTTATTTTGTCGTCTAGGGGCTATATATGTTCAGTTATCAAAGATTTTTTTTTTTTTTAAATTTCTAAGGGTGCCAGCTTCTCTCTGAAATGCTGTTCCTTTGAACAGTTCATCTTACCTGATAGGGATAGTGTCTTTTCTCAGCTTCTTTTTCTATATGTATATAAGTTTTATTGTACCATTAAAACATATTGCATGTCTTTTAACTGAAGGACATATTGGTATATCATATCAATCGTAATGGGAAGGGATATTTCATCTGATTGGAGTACTTATTTAAGATATCGTTCTTGTTTTCTTTTTTGGATCTCGAGACAGTTGTCATGTGAAAAATATCATTCGGCCATTCTTTGCTGCATTGTCTAGTATGCCATGTGCATATTTGTCATGGAGAAACGAAGCGTACCTCGCCTTGGTCCTTGTGGATCTCTCCATAGCAGCCGCTACTGCCTTCATGTGCCTTTCACCTTTAACTACTATGGTCACGTGGTATTTTAGGATGCCATCTGCTGTCTTCTAAGTTCCCTTTTGTATTTAATATATATTACAATACTGCATTGCTATATGATCTTTAGTTTGTGTTTCACATTTCAATAAATTGCGGTGTTTACTTGATAGAATACATTTTGTTCATACTTCATAAGAAATTTGGAAAATTTAGTCAAACTTTTGCAAGCTAAATGATTCTTTTTGAAAGATTCAGAAACGTTTATTTGCTTGTATATGGGTTGCATATTACTTTACTTTATTTACGTAGCTTCCTGAGCATCTGACAACCTGTTCCATTTGTTTGGAATGCATTCAGTTTCTACCACAAGACAGGGTTTGTGAGTTTGCCAAGCTAACCCCCGTGCAACTTCTTGAAGAGACTGAAAAAGCTGCTGGTGACCCCCAATTACCTGTTCAGCATAGGACTCTCATATCAAAGAGTTGGGAGTTGAAGAAGTTCGAACGTGTGAGTGTTCATGTGGTCCCTCTGTTTCATACTCATAATGTTATCTGGTAAGGAATAAATTTTAGTTATTCTTCTCATTTTACCGTAGGCTGTTGCCAGCAATGAAGGTTTGTTGGATCAACTCAAGGCCCAAAATGCAGAACTAGAAAAAGATGTTGAACGTGTTCGTCAAAGAGAAGATCTCTTAGCAAAGGTTTATTCATCGTTGTTTGCTCTTATCTTACAATCAGCTTGGTGCATGAGTATTTGATGGCTCACATGCTTCCAGGCTGACTCTATGAAGAAAAAGTTGCCTTGGTTAAAGTATGATATCAAGAAGGCAGAGTATATGGGAGCCAAAAATCAGGAGATCGAAGCAAAGGGGAAGCTAGACGAGGCTGTCAGAGCTCTTAAAAACCTTATTGGACCCCATTGAGTGAGCTAATCTGCTTGGACCTTTTTTTCTTTTCTGAAAGCTTGTTGCTTTACTTATCCGTTGCACCTTTTCAAATGTATGCAACCTATGAAAGGTTAGTTGTTTGCACGCAGAGGATGTTTGATCGAACTTATTCAAAAGATATAAAAAGCTTCGATGTCTTATAAGATTTTTCCGGAGCTGATAAGTTATGTCTTATTTTGAAGTGTTTAGTTATAAGAAATGTTGGGGGCTCACAAGATTTTGTAAATGAGAAAAACAAAGGAATTTGTAAGATGACAAAAAAAGGTGGGTTGGGGTGGGGGTTGCTTTTATTTAAGGAGCGCTTATAAGCTCTTAAAGAGCTTAATTTGTCATCTTATGNTGTATATATATATATATTTCTCTGTTAAATCTTATCAAGCTTGGTTTGTATTTCAAAATAAGCTTGAAAATGTGTGTGAACATTGCCAAATTTATAAGATAGGTTGAGCTAGGTCAGCTCTTGAAATTGGTGATGGTCATTTTCATATGCCAAGTGAGGCCGATCTCAATCATTTGGAACTAGCTTAGCTTGTTTTGTATCTAGGTGTATCATTTGATATACGCTAAGCACTGATTGCTTCTTGTCTTGTTTCTTAATATTTTACTGTTCAGAAAAGAGAAGGCAGATAATGCAAAATTGGAGGCTAAAGTGAAAAAGATAAATGGTTTGCTAGACGGAAACATGAAGAAGCGTATGCAGCTTTTGGACAACTATAACCGTTTAGTATGTTTCCATTTTACTTTTATTATTAATCTGCATGTATTGTCCATGTGTTCCACCTGTCAAACTGTTTGATATTGTTTTACAATTGTAGGGAGTACTAGTACAAGGGGCATATGATGAAGTGGATGATTTGACGCATCAGGAAGAATCTCGTCAATTAAGAATCTCTAAAGCTAAGGAAGATCTTGCCGCTGCTGAGGCTGAACTCAGGAATTTTCCTCCTTATTAACCTCCACGACAGAACATGGTGCGTTTAACTCTCTTTTAACTGATGGTGCATGTCTGGCTATGGAAGATGGCTTATGTTAATCATTTATTCTGCAGAACATACAAGTCACAAAGTTGTTTCTGAATAATTATTTAAGTTCTTGTCATTTATTCTTATCCTTGTTTTGTGGCTATATTTAGGAAAATTTAAGTGCTCGAATTGTGGAGCTGGAAGAATCTGCGAAAGAGATGAGATATCATAAAAGAGAAAATGAGAAGGATTTAAACCAACGCAAAATGAACCTGACGCAGTGTATGCAGAGGTGACTATCAGCACTTTGTCCAACTATTTCATTATATATCGGATAGTCTCAGCCTTAATTGTCATTCCCTTTATGACCTAAAAGGTTGAGGGAAATGGAGAATGTCAACAATAAGCGTTTACACAGTTTAAAAAGTTCTGGTGCTGAGAAAATTTTTGAGGCGTATCAATGGGTTCAGGAGCACCGAAGCATGTTCAATATGGAAATTTATGGCCCTGTATTGCTTGAGGTGCATAATTAGAAACTTGAGATTGCTATTTATGATACTTGTATCCAATGCCTTAATCATTGCGATGTTATTGTTGAAACTACATATTCAGGTGAACATTGCCAATCGATTTCATGCTGACTACCTAGAGGGCCATGTTGCCCATTACATATGGAAGGTACATATCTGTGTTATATAGCTTGATCTGTCGGACCTTGTTTTAAATTTTAATTCCATTTTTCTTATTTAAAACAAGCGAATAATTCTGTGGTTCTTTGGCATGAATTTTGAAAACTTCAAATGTTTTGTTGTCAGAACATGAAAGAAGATTAACCTTGGCCTTCATATTTCAATTGTGATTTTTTTATTTAATTTTTTATAATTTTGTCCTCGACTGGGTATCGAATTGAATGATCTAAGATTATTTTGGGATGTTAAGGAAGGCCACAGGGCGTTGTCAATATTGTTCCTTGGTTTGTACGGTTGATGCAAGTCACATAAGTTTTAGCGCAACAAAGAGTCAACTTTAGAGTGTTTGGATAGTATTAAGTTTAGCATAGCTGTGTGGGCAGTAGGGTGTAACATTATTTGTTTGTTTCAGCTTTGACTAAAGATGGGAGGCTAGGATTTTGAAGTTTTAGTTCAGCCATTGCATAGTCTTCCATGGACATCTTTTCCACTGATTGCACATTTTTGTTTTCTATTCACGGAATTGCTGTACCGGAACAAACAATGAAAAACAAAATGAATGCTCAATACAGTTAGGTGACAAGTAGTGTTCGATCGTTGCACTGGGAAAATAATCTCGTGAGTGTGTTTAGAGTGGAAACTGAAACACTTTAAGCACAATAATTATGCTGGTAGGGGCTGCTGCTTAGAGTAGTAATAAAATGTTATATCCATCAATTCATTGATTATTTTGATCATTAATAAAATGAAAGGAAGATATTGCATGGCCTGCTGAAAAAATCAATATGACCCTCGGCTCTCCTAATCTTAAGGTTATTACATCCTTTAGGGTTATTTGTTTTTTACAAATGCAAAGTATTATTTTTCATGTGATTTTGTTCTATTTATTGTCTCCCAGCATAATGCCTGGGTAGTCTGCAGTTCCTCTGAATCATGAATTGTATAATTTTTAGCTTTATCATCTGTTTTTTGTCTAAGTATTCTCTTTAACTTACTGGTTACCTTTCCAGGCTTTTATCACTCAGGATCCCAAGGATCTTGTTTTACTGCAGGAAAAGATGAAACCCTTTGGTGTTCCCGTTATCAATCATGTTAATAATGATGGTGGCAACCGAGAGCCCTTTCGTATGACGGAAGAAGTACTGAACTGATGCCTCATTAAATTTCAGTAGTTTGGCTTTGCTAATAGCCTGCTGATCTTCTGTTTGATTTCACTATGCAGATGCGTAAACTTGGCATATCTTCAAGGCTTGACCAAGTCTTTGAAGCTTCCCATGCTGCTGTCAAAGAAGTTTTGATTGGTGACTTTGGACTGGATCACTCTGTAATGCTTTTTTGTTCAATTTCGTGTTTTCATCATATGAAATCTTAGCAACAGTGATGATGATGAACAACGTTCAGCATCTCTGAGGTGAATATTGGCCTCATGTTTTTGTGGTTTTCTCTTCTCAGTACATTGGATCAAAAGAAACTGATGCGAAAGCTGACCTGGTCTTAAGATTGGGAATTATGGACGTCTGGACACCAGAAAATCATTATCATTGGTCCAGATCCCACTATGGCAGTCATGTGTCTGGAAATGTCGAATCAGTAGGCCGATCCCGACTTCTTTTATGCAGTAAGTTTCTGGAAGACTGTTCAGTTCTCTGTCTTGTATAATCTAACGTCTTGTAGTTCAGGGCAAACTGACTATTTCAGAATAAATTGTCATCAGTTCTCTACAATGTTGGTTATCCCAATAGTTTAACAACTATCAGCTGTCAAATATAGTAGTGTATAAGAAAATAGATTGTCGTAGTTGGTTCCCCAGATGAAAAAAATGATTTTTAACTGAAAAAGCTCAAACCTTGCCCTCTCAGATTTGGATGTTAAGGAAATTGACAGTGCCAGATCGAAGAAAGTAGAACTGGAGGAGCAAATTTCTGTCATAGATGCAGATTTGAAGTCTCTGCAAATTGCATTAAGACAGAAGGAAGATGAAGCAGCTGAACTTCAGCGCGAACGGGTAAGCGGTTATGCAGGGAGTTGTTGTCCAACCTTTATGGACTGTTAAAAATCTATAAGTGAGGTAAGAGAGTATTTTATTAGATGGCAATTGGGTGACAAGTAACCATCACAATATTCATTATCATACTTTCCCCAACTTATTGCATTGGCTGGGTTTGAAGCTTACTGGTTAGAAGCCACTGAATTTTGGTACGATATTCACATGGGTCAATCATTAATTTATGTTGAATTTAGCTTATTATTTCCTGTTCAGATCCAAATTTTGGGTTTTTAGTATATAGAGGCAGCACATTTTAACTGTTTTTTCCATGTCACTAAGCATTATGCTTCATTATTACGTATATTGCCACACAGAAACATGGCCATGAAAATTTACCCTTCTATCCCTATCGTAGAGTTCATCAGTGTTGGTTTTTTGTTTTAATTTTGCAAGACCATGGTATAAGAATCATCTACATAAAGGAAAATCTCAATGCTCATTAGTGCATATAGTTTCTGCATGCAAAATTACATTAAATTGTTTGACACTGGACTGTGTAATTTCATTTGAAACTTACTCCGTTGAAATGTCACAGAACTTACATAATCAAATAATTATGTTATATTATTAAATTTAATATTATCTTGTAATCCCATGGCTCACACAGTTTTTTGTAAAAACATATGCGTGGGTATCATTTCAACATACAAGTTACCATCACCACTGATCTTTTGACTTGCTTATTGGTATCCTTAAGAGAATATGGTTCTCCATTAATTATTTATCTCTGTGTTAACTTGAGAGTTGTTCGGCATATAAAACAAGTTGTTGTAGAAGCATGTTTGTGTGACTATGACATGGCAGAAAATGTATGTGCATCATTTCCCTTTGTTATAGTAGATAGTATGGATGTAAAATTGCTCTTTTGTTCATGTGAGGTTACAGAGCATATAGCTGCTAGTATTGTGTGTCAGAGAAAACTGAAATACATCTGAGAATTTGTGTGTTCTTCACCAGAAATATATGAACTATATTATTTTTTTGTCCAAACAATGTGGGATGGTGGTTTTCCTGCATAATGCCCCTAGGTGAAAAGAGTTTTAAGACTGCTAATAGCTTGTACTTTGTGCTGGAATGGAAAATTGAGGTCCTCTTACTCTTTAACAGTTTCCGGTGATATGCTTATAATAGACAGATGTGCAGGAGTGCCGACAAGTTGTTAAATGTTTGTAGATAATTTGATGCAACAGCGATTGTGTTTGGTCAAAGTTATTTCTGCCATCGGGGATGATTATGCTAGTATTATTTGTGTACTTGATAAACTATGGGTATCATATTGGACTGTCCATATGTTAGGAAGCAAGACTTAATGCTCCATAAATAAGAATTAGGGAATTATCACATATAAAGTACACTAGTTTTTATTGATGTATCACTTATAAAGCACTATTATCGATGTAAGGAATATGCGTGAGATGATAACTTGATGATCACATTTCAGGAGGAGATTGTTAACGTCATGCAAAGCAAGAAGAAAAAATTGAGGGAGTTGGAACAAACTGTCAGTAAGTTAAATGCTGTTTCCTTTTTTGTGGAGACATCATATTTTCATGGATATATAGATATGACATTGGTTTTCTCCAATTTCAGACCAAAGGAGAATCAAGTTGAAGTCGATAGAAAGAGCGGATGATCGAGAAGCTGCAATAGCAAAGCTCACTGACAAGGTTAAAGAATTGAAGAGTCAGCGTTTCCATAGTGCTATTGAGGTTAAGGTGAGTCAGTTTCGGTTTAAAGTTTGCAAATATTTTTTGGCTAGTTATGGAATTATTTTTAACTTTGACCAACTCAAGATCCTGGTTTCTTATATTTCTCATTGTTTTCTAATGGTAGAATTTGCTTATTGAGGCTGTTGCTTATCGAAGAAGTTTTGCTGAAAATAACATGAGCTCCATTGAAATTGAAGCTAAGGTATGCTCCACCTGTTGTTTTGATGACATAAAATGCACGTCTTATAATTATATTAGGAAAGGATACAGAGAATGTAAAATAGCTGAAATTCCAGGTCGGCCTCACAGGAAAAATGTGTGGCATGATTGATCAGGTTGGATTTTCTAAATACAGTCACCTGGCTGTCAATAAAGGGCTATGCTACTAAAAAATTTGAACGTAATTTTTATGTTGCAACTTACAACTGTCCAACTATGCTTTACCTATCGAAAGATTTTTTTTTTTTTTTTTTTTTTTTTTTTTTTTTTTTTTCTTATTATTTGCTTGTAAGAATCATGTATGCATTTGGTTACGCCCTTCAAGTATCATAACTAAGTGCCAACCAACAATCTGTATGTCAGTAATTATGAATTATAATGTTACAACAACAACAACAACAACAACAACAACAACATACCCAGTATATTCCCAACAGGTTGGGGTTTAATATATGGATCTAATGTTCGGCTTTTGTCTGGCTATTTATAAGAAAATTGAAGGTCTGGTGTCTTTAATTTTAGTTTCCATTGGTGTTGGAAATATAGTTTTTGTGGGGATTGAAACTGTTTGAAAAGTAAAAAAACAGTTTTATTAGTGTCTCCACTCTTGGGTTTAGAGCTTGGTATAATTGGCTAGGTTAATTAGCTAGATTTTAAGCTACATTTTCTTTGCAAAATGGATTTAGTTAATTTTAAGGCAACCTACAAAAGAAGGTGTTAACTTAGAGGATACTGGACTGGTACATCGCCAAGTGATAATGTAATATAAATTCTTACCCACTGAACGTGGTTAGTTCCTGGTCAACTTCTATTGACTACTAGAAAGGTCCGCAACATGATGTGGTTGTGGTAAGATATATTCTTCACTTTTTTCTGTATATTTTTTTGGGTTCTTTATTCTCTTTGTCCGTTCTGCCTAGATATTATTCTATTTCTTCAGATTAAGGAGATGGAATCCAATGCAAAGCAACAGGAGATGATAGCTATGCAAGCATCCCAAAATCTTGAAAATCGTAAGTGTTGACATTCTGCATGATTTTGAAATTATACTTTTTTGAACCAATGAGCCCAGATGTTATTTATGCATTTTATATCTTGTTTATTATGGAAGCATCCAATCCTAAAGAGACCATGTGATAAGATGTTATACAACATCGTAATGACATCTGATAGTGACCAACTCACAATACCAACATAAACCAGAGGGTGGTACAACTACTGCTACTATATGTGCTCTACAATCATGTGCCTTTTGGAGGATATAAGAAGCACATAATTTACCATTCCCTGAAAGCTGTTACTTGCTCTGTTAAATTTATATCAGTCGTTTACAGACTTCAGTCTGAATAGATCACACATTGATTACCTAACATAATTAAGGATAAGAACAACCTACATGGTGTGCTATATCAATTGAAATATGCACGGAAAAGTTTACTGTGATTGAAAATGTGGGCAAAGCTTCAAAATTTTCAGTTAGGTCATCTTTAAGCAATCAAAATACTTTTAACTCTGTAAGGCATGAAATATTGATTACTTTCTGTGGTCTCCTTTCCATGTAAGTTGATGTAATATGGCTACAAAGATTCGATGTAGTTACATTTATGGGCCCAACGCGGTTTAATTGAACAAATGTCTTCACTTAAGGATGTTGGACATGTACTTGTGGACAAACCACCAAAGAAAATTCGACATGCACAAAGGCTGCTAGGGTTTGAGTCTGACAAACTTTTTGCTTCACGACAGTTTTCTTGCAAATTGGATGTAGGCATGTAATAGAATAAATATCATGGAATTTTTCAAGATGCATGAGCTGTTAACTGAGCCCTATCATTTTGTGGAGGGGCCAGTCTGTTGGTATCTGGCTAAAGTAAAATATCTGCATGAGCTACCAGTGCTCATATTCGTAAGTTTGCTCTTTGATAGATAAAGACGAAAGCCCTTTATGTTGTACATCTCTGAGAAATGGATAATTACTGTTCCCAAAACTTTTCTTTAGTCTACTTATATTTGGCTCCACTTATTACTCAAGGTTCCTACTTAAGCCTAAGGCTCTTTAAATTTCTGAAACTACCTAAATATGATCAACTATTCTGCATCAATAAACTTGGTTCCACTACTCTGATCATTCAAATGTGTATATTATTACTGTCCTAATGATTTTCGTATTTCGCCAGTTAAAAACTGATATGAGATGTACCATGGTTCATTTTTTATAGTATATTATTATTTTTTATGGCTTGTTGATTAGGTAAGAGTGTCACGGAGAATTTCCGACATCAGCTGTCGGTTGCCATGAAGCATGCACAATCAGTTGCTGTAATTACTCCTGAGCTTTCACAGGCCTTTCAAAAGGTTATTATTCTGGCTGAACTAATGATGCTGCAAAGTATTGATGTGCTTTTAGTACATTGGTATACATTTTTATAGGTTTCCCCAAATCTGAATAAACTGGTTTTGACTTTCTCAAATAAAAATGATATGTATTAGTGAATTTTGATTATAAATATATAATCTCCAAATATTATTGGTTGTAGCATATTGATTCTCTGTATGCTGCAATTGCTTATTAGTTATAGCCAATCCCTTTCTGCTATTGCATTATGTGCTTCTTAGCCTAATTTAGGAAATTTACTTGCAGATGCCTGCTACTATTGAAGAGTTGGAGGCAACAATACAAGATACGATATCACAAGCCAATTCTATCCTTTTCCTTAACAATAACATCTTAGAGGAATATGAAAGCCGTCAACGGAAGGTACATCTCATTGTGTTTGGCATTTGTAAAAGACTTGCTGCTTTCTTTCTTTGTGTTTGAAAATGGAAATTATGCAGATTGAGGAACTGACAAGGAAGCAAGAAATGGATGGAAAGGAATTAAAGGACTTACTAGATGAAATCAATGCTCTGAAGGTTAGTGATAGATCATCTTTAAAAATGTTCCAACACTATTTTACATATTATAATGTATCAAAACCTAACTATTCTGATTGTGGATTGTCTTCAAAGGGATGTTGGCTCCCAGCATTGAGAAATCTCGTGACTCGTATTAATGAAACTTTTAGTCGCAATTTTCAAGAGATGGCTGTAGCAGGCGAGGTGTCTTTAGGTAATTGTCATGACTTCACTATCACTTCATTTTTTGCAAGTTTTGTGCAATCTTCATTGCGGTGTCTAGGGATTTATATGCTGATCCGTCAATTTTATTTCAGATGAACGCGACACAGATTTTGATCAATACGGAATCCTGATCAAAGTAAAGTTCAGGTGATTTAGTTTTCATTCTGGCGTACGTATGTGTCTAACTGAAGCAAGTTTCTGTCTTGCTTAGTACTTATGCTAACACATTAGTTGTCGACTTGCATCAAGTCGTACAATTTTGACGAGAACTTCCTTTGTAGATGCAAGCATTTTACTTCACCTTAAATATTTTCTTTTTTGCGCTACTTTGTTATATGCTATATTGTGATTTTTATGGTTTCCATTGTTTTCACCAGGCAAACTGGACAGCTTCAGGTTTTAAGTGCCCATCACCAATCAGGCGGGGTATAGCATTTGTCTTACATATATAATATAATATATACACAATGAACAGAAACTTATCTCAGCAGCTTCTAATTTCTTTATACAATTTGTTTTTTTTTCTAGGAGCGCTCAGTTTCGACCATTCTCTACCTTGTTTCTTTACAAGACCTTACAAACTGCCCATTTAGGGTAGTTGATGAGATCAATCAAGGTTTTATTTGGGTTCTCAAATATATTTGCTGCATGATGCACTTTATTAATTGAAAGAGATGAGTCAATATTTGCAATTGCTTCCCAGGTATGGACCCATAAACGAGAGGAAAATGTTTCAGCAATTGGTTAGAGCAGCAAGCCAGCCAAATACTCCACAGTAATTGCTTTCGTTTATTCGAAGGGGGAAAAAAACCCGAAACCCTATCTTAGTTCCAAATTAAATCGAACTGCTTAAATTGTGGTGTGGTCTTTATTTGCAGGTGTTTTCTGCTGACCCCCAAATTGCTGCCAAATCTAGAATACAGTGATGCATGCAGCATTCTTACTGTTATGAACGGACCTTGGATTGAGCAGCCTTCGAAAGGTTCCCATATAAAATCTTGATTAATTAAATATGTTTTTAATCTTTATTAGATCTTAGNTTTATTAGATCTTAGTAAGGAGTTTTTTTTTTCGTTTACCAAATTTGCAGTGTGGAGTGGTGGTGACAGCTGGGGATCTCTGAGACTCCCAATAGGAGAAAAGTAGTGCTGAGAGTTCGTATTTGTTGATAAATGGCGTGGAAGTTTTCATTGTTCGGATAGGAACAACATATGGTTTTTCTGTTTGGCAAACTTAGATGTATTTTGGATTATTCAATTTTTGCCCATAACTCTAAATTGGCTCTTTGTATATATGAATGACATGTGTTCTGTGATAAGGATAATAGCCACAAGGTCAAACCGAACCAAAGGACATAGGGGTCGACCGGCCCGAGTGGTCGACGTTCGACCATGGTACCGACCAGAGAAGGAGAGCGGGCCGAAGGTCGATCTAGCACCAACCGGCGAGGGAGATTCGGTCGAGGGCCGACTGGGCGTCGAAGGGTCGCGGGAGTCTCGACCGGTGAGTAGAGTAGGACTCGACCGGGGCGGATCGATCCAAAGGGCCAAAAGTCGACCTCCGAGTCAAGGCGCGTTAGTCGTTCGGTCGACGGGCACTTAGAGACTCGTAGCCCCGAAAGAATAGCCGTACAACTAAATCCTATATAAAGAGTAAGTTCGATGGTTGGAAGGTAAGACATCATTTACTACAAACACTATTACATTCAATACTAATTAATTCTCCTATTCCGAAATATTGACTTGGGCGTCGGAGGGTCTTGCGCCGGAGCAATTCCGGCGTATTTGCAGGTACCGGCGTGCACCCGAGCTTAGACCGGACCGAATTAAACGCACTTACGCCGCACTCGTAGCGAACCCTTTGAAAGACCGGAGTCACCCATCTCGGACCGTATCATTCTGGATTCTTTTTCACGTTTGCGTTCTGTGTTGAAGTTTGAAGAGCATTCTTTGTATGTGATATTTTGGGTAGACATTTACTATGACATGACAATGAACAATATTATCCTTAGATTGCTAGGTTTTTCATGACTTGACAGAGCACACCTCTTCATTTTTTGTGCAATGTACATTTAAATATTTTTCATTTTTTCTGTGAGTATTTTGTTAATCAATTTTTGTGATTACTGTATTGTGTATTCTATGCATTTATTCGATATATTTAAGATATATTTTGGCAGCATGTTGATTGGGATTGGATCTCCATTTAGGCCTTGTTTGTAAACTTCCAAATGATTGGACAATTTTTTAGGCCCAGGATTGGATTGCAACGGACTACCAATTTTATTTGTTTCACTTAGGCTTTGTTTGCTTTGCAAGATTACATGGGATAAGAGCACGAATCTTGGGTGAATCTTGCGTTTGTAAACACAGAAACAGGTCCGTGACTTTATCCATATATATTTTGCTGTCGTGTGATAAAGTAATTTTTATTGAATCAATATTTACAATGTTACCGAAATAAAAGGGTAACATATTTTGGTCTTGCCTTAAAACTAATTTATCTTGTCTCGATTGGTCGGTCCTGCGGCTTCTTTGCCCGTCGAAACCGAAATCGACTCATCAACTTCGAAATCAACTTCAGTCGACTTCATCTTATCGCAACCGGCGGCTAGACCCACCAACAACAACAAGGATGGTTGAAGTCCGAAAAAACGTCGGGGACAATTCGATTTGGGTCTGGGTGATTTTAGAAATTTGATAAGTCCCAAGGACCTAATTGCAATTTCATAAACTTTTAATACATTACAATTAAGTTCATGAGTCAAATTTATAATTTATCAAAACTTTAATAGTTGCACATTAATGATCAATGCATTGCACAATATAATTTTTTGAATATGCACCATGAAAATGACTGCTCTACAGATTGCACATTATTGAGAGACACATTGCACTTTAATGTGTATCAAATTGCACCTTAGCGTCACAATTCATTCTGCACAATGACTAAAACCCCTGTGTGAAAAAACAAAAGTCCGCTTATTTAAATGCCACCGCGTGTTTGACTAATCTTGGACCTTTTGACTTTGCCTAGAGCATCAATATATCACATGCAATGGCTATGATTCATTCTTATTTCTTTCACTATGACCCTTTCTCATATGATCCCAATTATGACCCAATTTCACTTCTGAATTTATTATTTATTGGTTTTTTGTTTGTTGAAGGAAAATACCTTTTTAATTTAAATGCTATATAATGCTTATTATTTGTGAGAGGAACAACATAGTTATCTAGACATTTTATCGCCCCAATATTTTGTTTTGGTTTTTTATTGAATGACACTTCTTATAAGTGTTTCGTAATCAATAAATTTACCTATTAATTAGAATTTCAGAAATTCTGTTGCGACAAGAAGTACAAATATTTGATCTTTTTTCTTGTTTGTGTCATATCANTCGCTCTAGTATAATTATTACTTACAAAAAAAAAACATAATACTAAAATACAAATAATTCATTAGTGAGGACCACATCAAAAATTTCACACTACATATAATACCATGGTTAATTAAATGAGAATTCATCATCAATTTGATTAACATTCCTTCTCCATGAGTTGGTGCATCTCTCCAGCTAGCTACCTAATAAAAAACCTAAAAGTCAATCATGTAATAGAAAAATTAATGACAAATTCTGTAGGTCGAAATATTTTGGCCTACAGAACTAACCGGAAGTCCGATTGAGACGTACAGTATACCCAGACGACCGTCTCGACGAGAGCTTTCCATCGCCGCCGACGTCGCCGGAATTCGACGCCGCAGGCGCCCCCACGCGCCGCCGGAAGGTACCAGGCAGCAAAATTTCGTTTTGATCTGTTTGCATCCGTTTGATTCAGTTTTGATCTGATCTTGTTCGCGCAACCCAAGACGTGATTTGCGGTCAATCAATTGCGGTCAACTGTTCGTGTTCAACCAGATCTACATAAATTTTAAGCCGTAAGTTCTCTACGTCAAACCTTTAGATCCGCTGCGCATAGGTTTACGTTTGCTATTGAATTCGTGATTTGTACATAACGAGATCCTCACAGATCCCAACACATTGACCGTTGACCGTTGATTCCGGCGTTGACTTCCAACAAGAATCATTGACTTCCGGCGTTGACCGTTGACTTCCGACATTGACCCGTTGACCTTAGTATGCATCATGTATGAAAGAAGAATTAAAGACAACTAACCTTGCAACCAAAGACAACTAACCTTGCAATTAAAGACAACTAATCTTGCAACTACAGACAACTAACCTTGCAAACTGAATACAACTAAACATTGCAAATAAAAACAACTAACTCTGCAACATATTTATAATAACTTTGCAACATATTTACACTAACTTTGCCTCACCATATTTACTTCATACGCAATACATATTATGGTCAACGGGTCAACGCCGAAGTCAACTAATAATTATTTTTATTATTTAATTAATATATATTTTAATTGATTACCATAAATCCTTAATCTAGACAAAATAAGTGACTAAGATTGAGTCTTACGTACTCATTTTAAGGAGTGGTCTCATTTAATCCACCCCTTAGGATGTGGTTCAAATGAAAACCAAGTCCTAGCGTGAGAATCGTGAGAACCGCTATTTTTAATTGTATTAAGTGCTATGATTGATTGTTTTTAGTGCTATTTTTAAGCAAGATATATTTTACTAAAAATAGCAACACAATTTATATTAACATTTGTAAAAATGATAGCATCATGTAATATTAAAAATAACATCATACACAATTAAAAATAACATCAAATATAGTTATCACAATTCTCACACTAGGGCTGGTTTTTATTTGAACCAGCCCCTATATATATATATTTTATTTTTTTTAACTGAAATAAGTTTACTTATTCATAGTTGTATATTCCTCGGTGTAGGTACAAGAGTATCGCTCTAATATAATTATTACTTAAAAAACAAACATAATACTCAAATACCAATACTTCATTAGTGAGGACCACATCAAAAATTTCACACTACATATAATACCTTTGTTAATTAAATGAGAATTCATCATCATCAATTTGATTAACATTCCTTCTCCATGAGTTGGTGCATCTCTCCAGCTAGCTACCTAATAAAAAACTAAAAGTCAATCATGTAATAGAAAAATTAATGACAAATTAATTCTGCCTCCAAAAAGCAATAATCTTGTGATCTTTGTTAGGAATTCGAGTGTGAAGTTTCAATATCATTAGATATTGTGCCCTTATATCTTGATCTAGTCGAGCAACCACCACCATTTGACTCTTGTGACTTCTTTTGACGCGATTTTCGTGGGATATCAGAGTTCGAACTTATCGATTCTTGTGTTGCTTGGATGGATATATCTGCATAATCCTTGGCTTGATGTTTTCTTGATTTTCTTGATTTTTGTTTTCTTGGGGAGTCATTTGAAATATTATTATTTTCGGAATTGCGCCTTGAGGACTTTGGCAATTCTGGAAGGTCCTTTTTTGACGAACTTGTTGATGCTCTATTGTGGCCTCTCTTTGAATCTACAAGGTCAAAATTTAATTCGTTATGTATTGGTAAAATAATGAATTTTGTAGTTTTTTATGATGAAGTGCCAAAAAATGAACTTTAATAGTAAGTATAATTGGCATGATATGTTATTGGACATATTTAACTGAATCTAACCTTCAGATACCCATTTGATTTCAGGATTATCTATAGAGTCTAGAGGGGGTCCTAATGGAGCTGATTGAAATCTCGATGATTTGAACTCTTTCATCTGCACAAATTGCAATTGGAGTAAATGTACAATACAATCCATTTTAAGATGAAATCCTCAAATGGGCGTAATTCTAATACAAATCATCTAGAGTATGCTTAATGGTGGAGAGAAAAATTTCAATTACAAGTTGTAATATTTGTATAAATTTGTTAAGAGAAATATATATTCATTAATATAAATTACGGGAGATTCTATAGTCTCGTTACAGAACCATTCCATCGGGATTGGTAACCGTTAGATCAACTATCCACGACGATTACATGATGATCTAACGGTTACAAATCCCGACGGAATGGTTCCGTAACGGGATTGTAGCATTTCCCTAAATTACGTAAATAAATCTGACATGTTATTTTATCCCTGTCTTTTTCACTCTAAATATATTATAAATTCACCACTTTTAAATGCAAGGGTCTTAGGTAAATATTGTGATTCAAATGAGAACCAAGTCTTAGTGTGAGAACTGTAAAAATTGCTATTTTTATTTGGGCGTAGTGCTATTATTGATTGTGTTTGATGCTATTTTTAACCAGGATGAGTTTTATTAAAAATAGCAACACAATTTCTGCAGATAACATTTGTAAAAATGATAACATCATGAAAAATAGCATTATACATAATTAAAAATAGCATAAAAACAGTTTTCACGGTTCTCACACCAGTATTAGTTTTTATTTGAAACAACTCCTATATATATATATATGCATGTATATATAAATAATGTTATTCCCTCTCTAATTAAGTTGGTAAGACATTATGCAATTTTGCCTAGTTTTGTGTTTAGTTATTTTTCTTTTTTTCCCTTTTCCCTCAAATGTTGTTTGTTGCTTGATGGTAATGATTAATGAGAAAAAACACATACGTACCCAGCTTGGTGAGTCAACTGCTGGACCATCCCATCCTATATGAGCAACGTGCTTTACATCTGTTGGGTGACCAATCTGTATTTCTTGTTCTTTTACGTCATCTGGATATTAAAATTAAATATCCAAAAGGATTAATCCTCAATTATTATAGGATTAATCCTCAATTATTATTTCTTTGCAGCAATATTTATTAGTAATTAAGGAAATAGAAAAAAATTGTATACATTCTTTTTGTGAAGAAAAAACCAGGAATTGATCCATGATAGAATAAAGATCAATTTATGTAAAAACTAAGAATAAATTAAACAAAGCAAATTAAATGAGGACTCACCAAATATTTGAGAAATATATCTCAGGCCTTTCAAAAGGCCTTTCATCTTCGATGTTGTCATCTTTACAATACTTTTAGTAAAAAATAAATATTCAATCAACTCATATGAATGTATATATATATTTTTTTTTTTTACCAGAACGATAGAATATGAATGTATTTAAACAATAAACAAACTCAATATGATGATAGAAAGTCAAATAGCTTAAATTATCATCCCCATGCACTTGAATGGAAAAACAAAAACAAAATTAAATCTTTAGCTTGCAGATCAATCAATCCTACACATTATGAATTTTAAAGAGAGAGGTTGATTAAAATATTATCAAAAACCTATGAGAGGAGAAAAAAAATTATATCCTCGCGCTACTTTTACTCTTTTGATTTCTATTCATAGAAAAGAGGAACAAAAGAAGATAAGAACAAAAAAAATAAAAAAAATAAACAATACAAAAGCAAAATTGGTATTGAGAGTTAAGACAAGATAGAAAAGCTTTTTAGTAAATTTGAATGGGAAGGAAATTGTTGGTTTTTAATGAGGTAACTAAAAGAAAGCCTTAAGACCATCGAAAATTTCGGGTAGAAATTAAATAAATTATTAAGTTAGTATATGGAAATTGTCTTTTGCACTAGGATGGCGGGAATATTGACACGTCTTTGGCAGTTCTTGTTTTTTAGTTGCAAACTTGTATTGTTCCCATATGCATTTAATAATCTTTGACAACTTAAATAATATTGTGAAATTATAAGTTGTTATATAAGGTAATCTCATTGCTTTGTAGGCTNACGATCTGTCATTTTTTTTACTTACCAAACGGTAGACACCCCTTATAACTTTTAAATTTAGTAAAATTAAATCTTAATCATTCGTTTTAAGAACAAAGGCAAAAATATAAAAAATATATTTGTACTCTTCTCGAATGGCCGCTGTGATGGCTCTTGGCTCTATAATGGTTTGAACTTTGAACTCAATATGATGGAAACAACTCGCACGGGGTTTTCTAGTGGCTCGTAAACTTCAATAGTATCTCGACTCGTACAACTGAATTTTGTCTCGGCTCGTCCTCTTCATTTAAACTAATTAAATATTAAGACAATTTAAAACACTCGAACACTTAAACTAACTAATAATACTTTATATATATCCATTACATAAATATGTATTTTTTTATTTGCTGACAGAAATTAAAAAAAAAAAAGGTGGAACGAGTCACTTTCTTTTATTCTGTCAAAGACAATAAAGTTTGGCATCATATGTCCCAATGTCCCACATCGCTTATGAAATCTGAAAATTAGGGGACAGTGGCTATAAAATGAAGCACAAAAACATCCACATTTCTAGACCTATACTAAAGAAAGCCGTGAAAGGTTAGCTTTTAGTAAAAAATTAATGTTTATGGCCCACATAGCATGTTGGGCTTGAAAGATGTAAGTCAAAGTATCAAAACTGTCCAAACTTTAAAGTGCTAAATGGAAAACGTTGGCCATAACGAACCCTTTCTGGTTTTACCGGTTTTTAATTAGTTTGAATTTGTAAACGGTTCTTGAGTCCAGCGGTTTTATACCTCAAACCGAACCGGTGTTCTGGTCGGTTCTCGGTTGAACTGGCCGGTCCGATCTGGTTTTGAGAACCATGATAGTCTCTGAGGTGTGCGGGAGAGCAAAATTTTATCCAAAAATAAATTTGTAAGATTGCATTCATAATCTATGAAAAAAAAAAAAAAAAAAAATTACGAACATGCGGGGTAAACAATATAATTCAATAAGATCAGTACTCTCAACTTGTTTTCCTCTCGAGAATATAATATCAAAGCTTCTTCTAGCCAGACTGTTGTTTGTGATCATATCATAAAAGAATTTTTTATTGTAAAGATTTCTTCGATACTCCAGATCTTTAAAAATTTATCTCGGAATGTGTTTCCTTCAATATGACTCTTCAATGGTACGAAAATATTTAGATGTATGTACTTTCCAAAATTGATGTACAATATTATTTTTTCCTTATGTGTGGGATTCTCTAAACTAAATCTTTAGCATATCTTCAGTAGATAACCTTCCCATATTTACAAAACATGTTCAGATCTCATAATCTCGTGTATATGTCCTCTTCTAGTCAATATTCACTTTATGAAAAGTTTCCTACACATGTAAGCTTTTAAATTTGTATTGATCAATGCCTTGAAAAATCTCTTGATTATATAAAGAATTTATTTTTCAGCAATTGCTAAATTAAATTTTTTATTTGTTATGAGAAAATTAAATTCTAAAAGACATGCGTGTGTATTTTGTAAACATACATACAAAATATTAATTTTAAATTTATTTACATAAATTTAATAATTACATCAATAAGTAATATTTACGTACATCAAATATTTTTAATTACATAAATTAAGAAGAAGAAGTACACTACTTCTATGAATTTTATACATAATAAAAATAAAATTACATAACAAAAAATTTTATAATAAAATAATAATTAATTATTATATGGTGAACAAAAATAAGTAATACTGTTATTTTTTCTATTATATCAATGAATAAATATATATTCTAAAATTAATTTATATTAGTATAACGTGTTAACAGATATATATTAATTAACATGTTTATGTTCTGGCTAAAACAAACATCATTGATTACAAGATATAAAAAATGTATGATTCGACCCTATTATTTTTTGTGTCTAAAATGGACAAGCCCTACGAAAGTGACTCATTTAATATACGTGTCTTGTGCGTTGGCACGGAACCTATTTTGTAAGCAAACACCCCTTTAGTAGGTCAAGTTTCTCTCTTCCACCCTAACTTGCGTTCCTTTTTGAAACAGTTTTAACTAATGGCAACCCGCGTAGATATACTCATAATTTCACATTCTTGGGAGCAAGTTAATTGGCGAAACCCTAAAGCTTGAACGACGATGGCGATGGCGGGTTTGTACAGGCGTATACTCCCTACTCCTCCAGCTGTCGATTTCGCGTCTTCCGAAGGCAAGGTAAATCCCGTTATTAGTGAAGCTTGAAAAAATATGCCGTGATTCTTTAATTTGAAGCTGAAGTGATCGTGTGCTGCAAGAAGAAGGAAAAAAAAGTAGAGTTTGTTGATTTAAGATGTTTGAAGTGATGGCAAACTTGATCGATTCTAAGGATATGGACAGTAGGGAATTTAGAGTGTTGGTAGGCAAATGGGACCGGACTTGATGACATTGGTTTATGAGTTATTCACTTGGCACATGTGCCGTAGATGATCTTGGGTTGTTGGGTGTTTATTGGCTTAATTTCATGGCTGATTTTATGCATATTTCATTCAGCTTCATTACGCCCTACATGGAGCAGGTTTAATTTTGAGCTGTAACAAGAGACCTGCGAATTGTTACAAATATTTGCTAGTTGAATTATCTTCAGGAGTGGCTGTAGACCATTTAAAGGACTTCACTATATTTTCTTTTGAGCCATGAGCATATGAGTGCATCTGAAACACGTTAAGTTGAATATCTTTCAATAACATGTTCAAGTAACTAACCCTTTATTTTTTATACTGCAGAAACTCTTCACGGAGGCCATTCACAATGGGACCATGGAAGGTTTCTTTAAATTGATTTCTTATTTCCAGACACAATCTGAACCTGCATATTGTGGTTTGGCTAGCCTCTCAATGGTCTTGAACGCTCTTGCCATTGATCCTGGCAGAAAATGGAAAGGTATATGTGAAGTATAAGTCATAATTTATGTTGTTTTGGCAAGTAACTTAATTTTCTGTTATAAGTATTTGAACAATCCGGCATCTTGATTTTCGAGGAAAGTTGTCTTCGTTTGTCAGTTGAAACTCTAGAGGGGTTTATTTACTTTTTCAATTTGATTCTGAAATTCAAGATGTTGTCATGACCTTCGGAAGAACATCAAAAATCAGGGAAGCTGAGTTAATGTCTATTTTTTTTTCATCAAATTTCTATTGCATGCTCTTTCTTTGTTTATTTTCTTTTTCATTTGTTTGGGTGGTTGTGGTGGTGGTGGTGAAATCCAACTCAGATTTAATGGAGCTAGAGCTTCGCAATTCTAAAAACATGTTTCTACCTTTTGTTACCCTCAATTGATTTGAATGAAGATGTTATGACTGAGATTTAACTTAGCTTTAGGGTGATTAAAATGATGGAATAGCCCAACATTTTCAACTTGTCTCAAACTTTTGCATTGTTTACCAGAAAAATGACAAGAGAATATGATGACTAAAGAGGGATTTCATGCACCTTGCATCGTGCATAGTTATTTACCTTTGATAGTTCTTTTCAGTATTTTCATTTCAAATGTATCTCTCTTCTTCTCTTTCTAGAGGTTGTTGATATGCATATACACATATTTTTCCGGTGCTAAGTTTCTTCTAGAAGTGCAATTCAGGGCCTTGGAGATGGTTTGATGAAAATATGTTGGATTGTTGTGAGCCTCTGGAGAAGGTGAAGGATAAAGGCATCTCATTTGGGAAAGTAGTATGCCTGGCACATTGTGCTGGAGCTAACGTTGAAGCTTTTCGTACAAATCAGAGCACCATAGATGATTTTAGGAAATATGTTATGGCTTGTTCAAGTTCAGATGATTGTCATGTGATTTCTTCATATCACAGAGGAGCATTTAAGCAGGTCAAATTCTATCTTCTTGGTCATGTACTCGTACGTATATTGATTTAAATGTTTCCACATGCGAGGTTTATCCTTTCTTTTCACAAATTTATAAATAGTTCCAAGGCATTTTGAAATTTCTTGCTTCCATACTTCTCCCTACCAGATAATATGTTCTTGTTTTTCAACCTGCTGAAGTCTTTCTCACTTGTTACTTCATTTAATTGTTCTTTTAAGCAAATGCAAAGTGTAGTGTGATTCTGTTTTGTTAAATTGGAGTTGATGGATCTAGAGGATAATAGTGGCACAGAAATTTTCATACTATGTAGAGCTACTCTTGGGATACCTTCTAAATGTTTGAGCAGAAATTTTCATACTATGTTAGAGCTACTCTTGATTAAAATTTTTGCAGTCGTAAGATAAGTTGATCATTTTTCTTCCCGCAGCTTAATATTGAGACTTGTGGAGTTTAATTTTTCTTCTCTTTTATTTTTGGTTTTTATCGTATGTTTTGATGCAGACATGTTGAGTAACTGTGAAGTAACTGTTATAAATTTGGTACCACTCATCACGTCATAACTGCAATATTCATAGCCAGGCTTGCCTTGCATAATATATTATAGAAATTGTGAATCTCTGCAATCCCAAAAGTTATCATTTGTTGATTTTCGTTTGCTGTGTTTTGTTTGGCTCTATTTTTTATCAAACCTGAGTTTTTTGATACATTCAATTTAATTTCTCGCTGATTCACCTATTCATATTAGTGTTATCAAACTAAATTATATTATATTACAGACTGGAACGGGTCATTTTTCACCTATTGGTGGATATCATGCTGGAAGGGACATGGCATTAATCTTAGATGTTGCAAGGTTTAAGTATCCTCCTCACTGGGTTCCACTTGGCCTTCTTTGGGAAGCTATGCATACTGTGGATGAATCGACTGGACTACTCCGAGGGTATCGTTCACGCTTTCTCTTTGCTCTCATCTTAAATCACATTACAGTCTCAAGCTATCTTTTTACAGCTCCATTTGTCCATTGCAAATGGAGCTGGAAGAGTCATTGTTGACAATTCTCCTGGCATAGTGCTAATAATGGACTAGATCAAAATGACTCAATTAAATTCTAGTGCTTCTTCTATTAGTGAAGTTTCTAGAAAAAAAAAAAATTTATCAAACGGCGCAATGCACCTTGGGTCGCTACGGAAACAGCCTCCTTGTATAATTACAGTGGTAAGGTCTGCGTACAACTGACCCCCCAGACCCCAACCTGTTGGGAATATACTGGGTATGTTGTTGTTGTTGTTGTTGTTGTTGTTGTTGTTGTTGTTTTCCTTTCTTCAATTTGTTTGGAATTGATTGAAAATTCTTTTTGACAAATCACAAATGTTTGCCTCCAGGTTCTCTGTAGAAGCCAAAGCTAGGATTCATGCATATTCAGTCACTTGTAAACTGTACTTTTCCAGATGAAATCTTTGTGGACCACTGTAATGTGGCATAATATATGTTCAGGATGAAATATGAATCAGCTATTGACAGTCTTTATCTTGCTAAGAAGCTTCAAGAGAAGAAGAAGCAAAAGAAAGTAACAAAATTCCGTACACCTGCATTGCCCATGCTTCCTGTTTTTCAACATTGTTTGTTATATATTCCTCCATTGGTTTCTTCATATTATACCGGTCATGTATATTTTATTATTTCTTATTATTTATCATGTGATTTATTTCCTGTTTGTTGCTGAAAATGAAGTCCTTGCCTCTGTATTTTCTATTTACTGTCGTTTTGATGATTTGAAGGTTCATGCTTGTGTCTAGGAGGCAGAGAGCACCGTCTTTGCTTTATACCCTGGTATATACAATAACTGATGTCTATGTTACACTTTGTGATCAACACACACATGGAGATTGTGATTTAGGAATTTGTTTGTATTTTCATTGCAGAAATGTATTATCATACTTTTTTATCGAAATCAAGAAAATTAGTTAAAACATGTTGATTTATATGTAGTTTAGAAAAAAAAAAAATTATATGTAGTTTAGAAAAAAAAATAAAATTGTTCAGTTACTGTTTAGCGAATATCACTGTAACAACAGTGAATATATAACTTTAACTTTATCAAAGTTAAATTAAGCTACTTTTCCTGAAATTGCACTCGAACTTCTTGGTGTTAGTGTAAAATCATTTATAGTATCTTTTCTCTATTTTACTGTGGTTTTTTCTTGCTTGTAAATATTGGCACACAGTGTTTCTGGTGAAAAACAGCCTTTTTTTCCACAACATCAAATTTTACAATGAAATACTGTTTTGACACAGAGCTGCAAACATGAGAGTTGGACCACTACTGCAAAATACTTGATGGATGATGTCCCGGTGCTGTTAAGTTCAGACAACATTAATGATGTCAAGAAAGTCCTCTCCACCGTTTTCACATATCTGCCTTCAGATTTTGCAGAGTTCATTAAGTGGGTAGCTGAGATTCGTAGGAAAGAGGATGGTGCTCAAAGCCTAAGTGAAGAAGAAAAGGAAAGGCTTACTACCAAGGTAAACTGCCAAGGATCCATGCCCATGTATTTCTAAATCGCGACTCAGAAGGTTCCAATGATTTCACTACACAATTCATATACTTGTAAAAGATATTTGTAGTGTTACCTCTTGGGCTTGGGGTTTTTATTTTCTTCCCGTTCTTTATGCGATTGCTCATAAAACTTTTGAAACATATGCACTATATATGAATAATCTTTGAATCGTTAAAAAGGATGACTGGTCATCCTTACTCTGTATATCTTTCTTCAATCATAAATTACNTTTATGATTCCATTGTTATCCCATATATGATCACTTTTAAAACCAATTCTTATCTTCCCAAATAACCTACTCGCACAGTTCTCATCAAAAAAGAAAAGAGCATAACAAAATGGCTAACATAATCACCTTTTCTTTTCCTTTTCCTGATTTTTTCAGGAGGAGGTGTTGAAACAAGTGCAAGAAACGGGCCTTTACAAGCTAGTGAGTGATATTCTGTCTTCAGAAACACTAGTCTGCCAGATGAAGCAAATTTCATGCCACCAAGACAATTTATCCACCATTGCTGCTAACGTGTGCTGCCAAGGGGCCGGAATTTTGACTGGCAAACCAGGCTCATCATCTAGATTCTGCTGCCGGGAGACATGTGTGAGATGTTACAGAGCTGTCAACAGCGAGAAGCCCGTCACAGTAGTTTCCAGTACAGTGGTCAATGGCAATGGTGAACAAGGAGTTGATATGTTAGTCCCCTCAACTCAAATGGAACATAATGGCTGCAGTTTGGGGTCGTGCAGTAATTCTGGCATGCACCCGGACAGCAATGATGTGCTTACAGCACTTTTACTTGCAATGCCCCCACAAACGTGGTCCAACATTAAAGATGAGACGGTTTTGGAGGAAATATCCAGCTTAGTGTCGACCAAGAATTTTCATCCATTGCTTCAAGAAGAGGTACTTGAATGCCGTTATTTTCTTTTAATTCAAACCCTCATTTGCCCGGACTTAGTTCTCCTTCTGTATTTTTTTTTTGTTTTTTAGTTATCATTAATATTGATTACAATTAATCCACGGAAATGTATTTTCAAGTTATTTAGCCTGATTGTTAAAATCACAAATCACAATTACCCCATCCCTCAAAGTAAAAGTTTTGATTTTGGTTAACAAATGCATTTGGCTCAAAGAAACTTGAACAGAAATCTAAACATTATTTGTGATTTTGAAAGATTTCAAAGTTTTCCCTTGAAGAAAATGTTATTTTCATTTTCTTTATAAAAAAAATCTATTCTTAAAATTTGACCCTTGTAGTTATTATTTATTATTATTATTATTATTATTATTATTATTATTTGAAATGGTGTTGCAGATTCTGCATTTGCGAGGTCAACTACTTATGCTCAAGAGGTGCAAAGATAACAAGGTAGAAGTAGAACTAGGCGCTCCCATAATCTAACAACCATTCCTTGTCCCTTCATATTGTTCTTGTAATAATGTATACATTTATACGTGTCATTCTAAATAATTGAGTACTCGAAAGCAACACACTGATACGTGCTCACATTTCAAGGCAACCACTGCAAAACATTTGTTTTTTTCATGTTATTTTAGGTTTTAGGTGAAGTAGCTGTAGGTACATCCTACAGGGTGGGCCTGAATTTTCCTGGAGATGATGCAATAGCAATACCCCTCCAGAAGTTAAATTTATATGCAAAGCGTCCAGAAAATTATATAGTAAGGCCTCACCGTGGTTTATTCTCTCCCGGAATAGTAGGGAGACTTGGCAAGGAGTATTCAGTTTCTGCATTAAGGGGATCTATTATTGCTTGCCCCTTAACTTCTCTATTATACAGAAAACAGAATTTTGGTTTGGGACATCCCGCTTTTCTAGGATGTTGATGAAGTTGACATACACAGATTCAATAAAAAAAAAATGTAAAATTAGTCGTTTTACAGATATATGAGTAAATTTGCTTATGAATTGAAAGTTTTGTTCTTCTTTTTTCTTGGCACAAAATTTATGCTTGCTCCTCTCTATGTTTTCCTCTCTCCCTCCTTTTTAAAATTATATTCATCATACCTATTGTAAGAATTTGCTTGCTCGACTACCAAAGTGTAAAATAAAAATAATTACATCAGTAATGCTATATGGCTTGAACTGCAAACCCTCCTTTTTAATTTACGGCTGAATTCGCTTTTGATGCACCGGGTATTTCTCTGTGTTTTTAAAAACCTGTTATCTTCTTTTATTTATTATCTAGTTATAATATGTAAATATAATAAGTTACTTTTTTTTTTTAGGATTTTTGACTCAATACCTATATTTACTTTGTATAAATAAAAAATAAAATTACTATTTCTGTTCAATATAATAAAATTCAAATTTTATTCATCAATAATGATTTGAAAATACTAATGAGCTAAATGACAATTACCAATAGTGTTTTGGTTGTAAATGGACAGGAAAATAGAGTTTTGAGCAAATTTATTATTCCTCTCTCTCAATACCAAGATCCTCAACAACTCAATTCTTCTCATTTTTCTCTTCATACTAAAATGATAGGAACCAAAACGAAATTTCCTAAGAGTGAGAAGCCACACGAAAGCATCAACTCTATTCCGGTAGGATTTTGAATCACCTGCCATGGATGGAGTTCAAAGAATCGTGAAAAATCAACTTCAACCAGAATTTTGGATTGAAATCGAGACTTGCTCAAACTACTTTCTTCCCTAGTAATGATTTCTCTTTCAAGCCTATAAATCGAGACTTCAAGTGAATACTGGGTGTTATGTACCAAGTAGAGGATGGTAAATCAACTCACACTAGTGTGTATCCCGTGCGCTGCACGGAGGGGTTTTTACTTAAAACCTTTTCTAAGACTTTATATTAAACATAGTTATTTATGTTTAACATCTTATTATTATACAAAAAGAAATACTAAATATGAAAAATTATATATTATTTATTTGAATATAATGAGTGTCCCAACCCAACTAATAACATCCAACATATGATATATGATAAAATTAATTATATGATCGTCATACTTTTTGAAAAAATATACATATATTTCTAATAAACATGTAAGATCCGCATTTAAATTTGTATTTGGATATGGGATGAAAAATGAATATGTACAAATAAAAAAGTACCAAGAACCTACATAAAATGAGATTCTTTATAAACTTTAAAATATTTTGTAGTTAAGCAAATATTAACAAACAAAATCATCAATTAAGTTGAACTTATCGAATATAAAATATAATTTATGATATCATTGGCCATATTTACCCGTTGTATTTAAAGTTATCATTGACCATATTTTTATGAATTAAGGTTTACAAAATATCTTTTTCAAAATAACAATTTTTTTTAATTTGAATTTGACTTTTTCATCCAACCGCCATTTTCCACAAGAATAGAAATAGTATTTTGGAAAATTTTAGACGTGAAAATCAAATAAAATTAATTTAATAGTAATCGATTAATTTAATATTATTCAAAATTGTTTAATTCGGTCAACCCGATCTTAGTGCACGTTT